TTGAAAATGGTGGGCAAGGCTGAGGAATGATGCATAAAAGTCAAATGCTGAATTAAAGGAAATAAACTTTTCAATAAATGACAAAAACCAAAAAGTTTAAAAAATCATCTCATCTCAAAATCCAAAAGTGCAACACAAATTGTCCAATTGCAGATCTTAGGATTCAAATGAAGCTAGAAGCAAGACTGACTGTTGTGGAGCAATGGATATGGGACCCACTCTGATTCTGAGTAAAATACGTGGCACAGTAATGGATGAAAATTATACATCAAGCCAGGCTCTTTCCTACCATTGACTTTCAGAGATGCTGTGCTTGTCTTGTCACCAGTGTCACAGATGTAGTCTCCCATGTCGTCCAGCTTCAGATCATGAATTACCAGCTCTACAACAGCTCCCTCCTGCCTCATCTCATACTTGTCACTGGGCTGCAGCACCACTCCTCCCTTCCTCCACTCCACCTGGGCTCCGGGTTTAGAGAGCTCACAGCGCAGGGTGACAGTGGACCCTTCCTGAACCTCCTGGTCCTGCAGCTCTCGTTTGAAAATGCTGGGTAGTGCTGATTGATGGAAAATGACATTGACACTGTCACCGCAGGTTTTTTCTGAAGTCATTCTGAAGTCATTTAATCAGTCTTTTTCACAATCCAAGAACCACTGAAATACCAGCAACATTGGAAAACAAATACCAGCATTTCAAAAGCTACCAGGAAACATGATTAGGTGAAGAATCCAGCTTTCTTACACAATCTTAGATTATTATAATTCAAGGCTACAACCGGGTATCCCATCTTGTTTTTTACCTCTACTATGTCTGTACAATCCTCCAACCTAAATCCACATTTTCTGGCATTCAACAGAACACACAGATTCCTAATGGAATAATTGGATATAATTTATATGAAGAGGCACAACACACCTTCACACTCCTGAGACACAGGAGACACACTCTAACTAAACTGATAGCCTATTTAAGGAAGCATTATTTAAAGAAGTGCTATGTCGCAATAAGTGGTTTCCATTCACATTTTTGTTAAGCCTTTACACTAATAAAATAGTTTCTTACTTTATGGTGATTACATAAAGTATGTGAAGTATGTGAAGTACAAGCGTATGAGAGTGTTGTTTGTTTGAAGGGAACAAGCTGACATTTGTACACATTCCCTGAACCTTTAAAAGAAAAAGGGTCCCAACTCCATGTCATGCTAAGACTATTACTAGTGTGACACTGGCAATGATACAATGGGCAGAATGACATCCTCAGCAATTTTATCACTTCAAAAGAAAGTAAATGACTGGGGTCAAAACACAATCTGAAATCATTGCTTTCAGATTCATCGTATCTCAAAGAATAGAAATAGAAAGCCTATAGTAATATATAGCCTAAATTAGACTATGCTGTGCCCCTTAACGTATTAAGTCTTGGTTCAATGTTCAAAAGTACAACAAAGAAAAATCAGAGCACATTAATCACCTTTATCACGGGTGTTCCCCACAATATTTTTTTCCAATATATTAAAAAATGTATTTTGATACACCTGTAATCTTTTCATTCTATTCAATTTCTGTGTCAGTCATTCAACCTACCATTGACATTAACATGAGCACTGGTCTGTTGAGCACCAATGGCACAGATATAATCTCCAGTATCTTCTACTTCTAAATTATTTATAATTAGCTCAGCTACGGAGCCCCTCTGTTTCATCTTATATTTGTCCCCAGACTTTAGAGCAGTTCCTCCTTTCCTCCACTCCACTGGGGCTCCAGGTTTAGACAGCTCACAGTGCAGGGTAGCACTGCCTCCCCCTGTGGTCTGTTGGTTCTGAAGTTCTTTTTTGAAAGTTACAGGCATGGCTGGGAAACAGAGGTCACGCAATTAAAGAGCGAGTGGTAAATAGCTGCCTCGATCAAGGTACACACATTGCTATCACAGTGAAGAGAATAAATAATAAAGCACTATCTTATAAGGAGGAAACTTGTACTTTACAAGTTGTACTTTACAAACTACAAAATTATCAGTGCCCCAGATATTGCCCTAAGCATACTGAAACATGTTCTGAAAAGAAACGCTCATCCTACCTTTCACAATGAGTTCAGCGGTCGATTCTGCATCTTTACTTTTACAAGTATAATGCCCAGTATCGCCCACTTCTAAGTTACATATTAGCAGTTCTGTTACAGAGCCAGACTGCCTCATCTCATATTTGTCTCCAGACTGCAGCAGCTCCCTGCCCTTCCTCCACTCCACTGCAGCTCCTGGCATAGAGAGCTTGCAATGCAGAGTAATGCTGTCCCCTTCTTTGGCATCCTGGTGCTTAAGTTCTTCTTTGAAAAGCACAGGCAAAGCTGGTAAGTTGAAGATAAATGGGAACATTTGTTTTCTGAGATCATGGCACAGTTAAAAAATAGACCAAACGCAGGCAGATTGCTGAGTAATACAAAATGTGGCTCAGTGGTTAAGATTTAAAAAAGACACCACTTATCATTACCATTTAAATAAAAAATGTTTTTCGTTCAGTATCTATTAAGAATATGGTGGTTGGCACAATAAAGACTGGATATGGTTACAGATTTTGCATTTAACACTCCACTTCCATGTGCAGTATTGATTCATAAAGCCAAGACAAAGAAAGAAAATTAAATTAATCATTTTCAGCTAACACTGATGGTAGCATGTTACACAGTTTTGAATGTCAAATGTATACTGTAGTTATGTTAAAAAAAAGAATAAAAACATACTCTTTTTACAAAGAAGGAATTTGTGTTGATATCTTATCTACTGTACACATTTTTAAGCAGTGAGGAAGACACAGAATACCACTCAACAGAAACACACTGGAAGGAAACCAGCATATTTTTAAAGAACATTTAAATAATAATGTTTCCGTTATGAGATCGATGATGACATGTTTTTGAGCTGTATCCTCTCTGAAAGTGACAAAATAATTGTCTTAGGGCATACCCGTCACTTTCACTTGAGCACTTGTTTTCTGGTCTCCTGTGATACAGGTGTATTCTCCGGCATCGTTAGGTTCCAAATTTTTAATTTTCATCTCAGCATTGTTTCCTCTCTGCTTCATCTGATACTTGTCTCCAGGCAGAAGCAGCTCCTTGCCTTTCCACCACTCCACGAGAGCTCCGGGTTTAGAGAGCTCACAGCACAGGGTGGCAGTGGCTCCTTCCTGAGCCTCCTGGTCTTGTAGCACTTGTTTGAAAATGACCGGCAGTGCTGTAGAATCATGAAAGGGGGTCAAACAAGAGTTTCAGATGAGAGGAAGCTAAGAACTGTATTATTCCACATCACGGATAAAAGTTAATAAAGGAGGCAAACTTTTGACTCATCCACTGCCCCATCCAGCAAACTTCCAAAAGAAATACAGTATAAGCAACCCCAGTGACTCAGAACAAGTGAAAAGTCGGTTTTCTAAGAAAATTAATTTCTAGTAAAAACATGGAACATACTGGCATTTCATAAAGGAAAAATGCATGAAATCAAACATGCATGACGTAAATTCATTGCTCACACACAATGTTACCCAGTGTCAATAACATAGTGGCTAATTCCTCCTACCATTGACTTTGAGAGAGGCGGTTGTTTTGTGCTCTCCACACACACAGCTGTACTCTCCACTATCCTCGATCTCTAAATTGCAGATTTGCAATTCACTTGTTGCTCCCCTCTGCTTCATCTTGTATTTGTCCCCAGTCTTCAGCACTGCTGCCCCTTTCCTCCACTCCACTGGGGCTCCAGGTTTCGACAGCTCACAGCGCAGGGTGACGCTGCCTCCCTCTTTGGTCTCCTGGTTCTGGAGCTCTTGCTTGAAAGTCACTGGCAGGGCTGGGGAAGCACGAGGACACGGAAACGACACAAGAAGCAGACAGCACTTCAGACTGCAGTATCTCATGATATATTGGCAGCAGGAAACCAGTATTGTCTAAAAACAGTCCAGAAAAGTCTTAGTATCTAGAGCAGAGCTGCTCAATATATCATATGCATGTCCCAACAAATATACAAAACAGCATCAAGCAATACTTTGGTTCAGACATGGATAAACAATCGCATTAGTAAAAAAGAGCTCACACTGACAAAAAAGGCAACTTCAATGAAATTACTCAGATAAATGTCTCATTCATGGCCAGAGTCATTAATGAGACAAAATGTGTTTTCTGAAAAGGACAAAGTTTACTACAGTCTTCTTTTTAACCTCACCTATTTAGTTACGGTGTGAAAGTGGAAATACATTAAATTTTATGGGTAGAAAACAAATACTGCATGAAGCATAGTATACTTCATTAATCAATAAGTTTTCAAAGCTATATCATGTAGTCACACTGCATATCACCCAGAAGAAAACAAAGCTCTGGAAACTTCAATAAGAGAACTGTAAGACAGTTTGCAACCTAATCTCTGAGCTCCTTAACACACAAAAAACGCCAACAAGCACCAACTACAAGACATCAGCCAGCCTGAGACTTCCTGCACATACTGACTCCAGGACACAGCAGCCCAGGGTCAGCCACACTGCTCCTCTACACCCTGACAACAGCTCAGAGCCCAGTGCTCTCTGCTCCCACAGAAAACCCACTCCAGTGCAAGTGAGGGGTGAAGAGGCCTCATTCCTACCCTCTACAGTGAGCCGGGCTGTGGTGTGCTGGTCTCCACACACACAGCTGTAGTCTCCTGTGTCTTCAAGCTGAAGGCTCTCAATCAGCAGCTCAGCAGTGCAGCCCCTCTGCTTCATCTTGTATTTGTCCCCAGTCTTCAGCGCTGCTGCCCCTTTCCTCCACTCCACTGGGGCTCCAGGTTTCGACAGCTCACAGCGCAGGGTGACGCTGCCTCCCTCTTTGGCCTCCTGGTTCTGGAGCTCTTGCTTGAACGTCACTGGCAGAGCTGGGGAAGCACGAGGACACGGAGACGAAACAAGAAGCAGACAGCACTTCAGACTGCAGTATCTCATGATATATTGGCAACAGAAAATCAGTGTTGTCTGTAAAAGGTCCAGAAATGTCTCAGTACCTACAGCAGTGCTGACCAATATATCATATGCATGTGCCAACA